CACCTAGATAAATAAATCTGTAGAAACTGACGTCCACACCTACCTGCAGATACACACGTGTATTCATGTGTACACATCTAGTATGCACTAACACATATGCTTCCACATTATTTAATGTTACAATTGTTGTTTAGTGCCTAGAGACCCCAACTAAGATCAGGGTTCTGGGTTGGTAGGTGCTGGACATACACATAAAAAGAGAGAATCTGCAACAAAGAATTTATAATGTAGCTAGACAAAGGTGGGGAGAAATGTGTGATACATTGGCCCTTCTGCAATTCCTAGTCAACAACATTCACTTTTTAAGAAATAATACATAACTTCTAGAGTTCCTGTCTCTTTTAAAAACTTATGAAATGAATACACACATATTTTATGTCATCAATTTTTTTGTGGCAAGCCAGCAAAAGGAATAAAAATCAAAGAGTTAGGCTGCAAATTTTATTCACACAGATATACACACATGCGACAATACACACACCTCCCTACACAAAGACACACAGTCTCTTGCACACATATAATGCATGCATGCACACACTTGCCTACACAGACACACTTGTTCGTACACTTTTCCAGGGGTTGCCTAAATCACCCAGCTGGGAAGGGAGGAGGGTGGGCTGGAGGGGAAAAGATGGGGGTGGGGGTAGAGGAGAGAGGATGGGGAGGGAAAGAGGCCAAGGATGAAAGCAGGATGGGAGTGAGAGGGGGCAGTGAAGGAGAGAGGACGGGGTGTGGGGGGGTATGTGCGGTGGATGGGGATGCAGGGGGAGGCAGAAGGCTACAGGTGTATGAGGATGTGGGGGGACACAGGGGTGTATAGGGACATAATAGGAGTGCAGCAGTCTATGGAGGTGAATGGGGTGCAGAGCTGTGGGGGGTGAGGAACATGGGGGTGGCAGCTCTGGGAGGTGGAGAGGATGGGTGGGAGAGCACTGAAAGGGGTACAGGCCTGGGATAGGTAGGTTTGGGGGACAGGATGGGACGGGGGAGGGATGCAGTGAGGGGGGCGGGGAGGGGATAGGGAAGGATGCAGTGAGGGGGATGGGGGTGCAAGGGGGTTGGGACAGGGAGGGATGCAGTGACGGGGGATGGAGGTACAGGGGGGTTGGGACGGGGAGGGATGCAGTGATGGGGGTGTGGGGATGGGACTGGGAGGGATGCAGTGAGCGGGATGGGGGTGCAGCCCCATTCCCAGCACTTGGAGATGGTGATACACATACTTCGAACTCCTGGATGCCGGCGATGGGGTGACAGACAGACCGTGGTTCGCCACAGGGCACGCAGCGCAACTTGAGCCTAGCCACACAAAGAGCGCGAGGAGAAGAGGGACGGGCAGCAGTGAGAGAGGCGTGTGCCACGTGACCCCTCAACAGCCACCTGCTGAGCGCTTGCGAGTTGCGCTAGTTCCTCCACTGCCCTGACCCAGCCAATGGGAGCTGCGCCTGCGGGCAGGGGGCGGGACAGCATGTGGACCCCCCTGGCTGCCCCTAAGACTAGGAGCCGGACATGCTGGCTGCTTCCTGACCCAGGAGCTGCACAGCGTGGCAGCTAGCAGGGAGTATGTCAGCCCTGCTATGCGGCACGGCGGCGCCGCCAACTGAACAGCCAACGGCTCGGTCAGTGGTGCTGACCGGAGCCGCCAGGATCCCTTTTTGACTGGGTGTTCCGGTCCAAATCCGGACATCTGGTCACCCTAACCCCACATGAGGCCCATTGCCCTTCCCCCATGCTGGACCTCTGGCCTCATGCCATAGGATGGGCACCCCCAAAAGAGCTGTTTGTTGGGCCCACTGCCAGCCCTCTGCCTGGAGCACTGCTCCTGCTGTGTGCTCAGGCTGGGGCCTGTCCCAGAAGAGGGATGACTTAATCCCCACCCAGTGCTCTGCGGGTGTGGGTAGGGGGGGAGCCTTGGGGGCAGCACCCCAGCAGAACAAAGCCATGACAAGCAGCAGGTTGGGGATCCTATTGGGCAGGTGTTGGCCTTGTTTCCATAGAATTTAACCCCTTCTCTACAATGGGGTTCAGGCTGGGGGTGAGTGGGTCCTTTGTTTGATAGGTTTGTATCAATCCCAGTGTCAGAGCCAGCCTCCACCTGACCGCCCAATCAGGACCCTCTGCCAGTGCAACCCCGCACCTCCTTGCTACAGAAACTCCCTGATTCTCTTCCCACGGCCCAGCTTCCCCACACCCCAGCCTCCCCGTCCCATGGAAAAGCAGAGAGAGACAGCTGAGGAGCGGCTGCTGCCTCACACCAGTGCTGAGAACCTGGGGCTGGAGTCTCTCCCCATAGGGCCGTTTCAGGAAACAAGGAATGGGTGGTGGTGGGGGGGGGGGGGGGGCCACCCACGGGGGGGGGGGGGCATAGGTGACCCCAGGGGGTGATTTGGCAACTGAGAAAAACCTTCCCCACCCACAGCCTAAATCCCCTGTGCTGGGCTCCTAGTGGATGCTACTCACCCCACACCCCAGGGGCTGCCCTTGGGGATCCCCTCCTCTCTCATTAGATTTGTTGACAATGATCGCCCCAAAGGGAAATCTCCCTCCCAAGGACTTTCCCCCCCAATCCCCATCCTTGCTGGTCAGTGCCAGCCTTCAGAAGGGGTCCCCGCAGCACAGCGAGAGATGAGCTCCTGGAGAGATTCTATCCTGCTGCTGCCTCTGGGAAGGTCGAAGGGAGGCCGCCCCATGGCAGATGAAGCTGTTCTGCAGCTGATGAAGCAAATCTCCTTAGGAAGAAAACCTTCCTCCTCCCCTGCTCTGCAGCCAGTACTGTTCTCAGTGCCCACATGACATAGAAAACCAGGAAGTGCTACTGCGCCAGCATCCCTGCCTGGAAGGAGACAGACCAGATCCACTGGCAAGGGCTACAAAGGGATCAGCTGGCGTTGCAGAGGAGACACAAAGCAGATGGAGACACCCCCTGCTCCAGCCTGGGAAGGATTCTCTCCAGGGGAAGGGATTGGATCAGGGTGGTGGGGAGCGAGCCCTTAATGTTGCTCTGTGATGGCTCACCTCGGATTAGCAATGATTTCTGATCTAAGGCTTAAGAATTGCCCTTGGCCTGGTATTGAAAAGCTATGGTGTTGCTGTTTGGCATTTGACTGTCAGGTGTTTTGTCTTTATTTATGATGCTGATGGGGCTTTGAAATCACCCAAAAGCCCTGCTGGCTAGCTACAAAAGCTGTGTTTGAGTGTAGAAAGCAAGCAAGCAAGGACTATATTCTGTTACCCCTCTGGCCTGCAAAGGCCCCCTGAAGGAGCCATCGCGTGACTGGATTTCTCAGATTCAGAGTCGCTTGTGTAAGCAGAGTCAGGATGAGCTCTACCCTGACATCTGGTGGTGAATTATGGCAAGTGTGGAAAAGAACTCCAGGGGCTGATCTTGTTTGCATAGGCACACCCACTCGCCTGGCATGAAACACAGCAACTGAAAGTGGTTACTTTGGCTGGTGTGGGAACCCCAGTTTCTCTATTATTGGGGCAGGAAGAATAAAGTTTTGTTACCCTGATTCTGTGAATCAAGGCCAGTGGAACTGTTGTATGACAGAAGGACTGAGTGAGTCCTTCACCATTACCTAAGTAGCACTTGCTTGACAAGGGGCATGGGTTACAAAACCCAGTGATTTGAGAGAGGATGGGGTCAGGTATTTGTACCTGATGGTATGGGCCCCCTCCAAGGGTTTGAAACACCAATTGCACTGCCTCCTCTCTCCACTGTTGAATGTCAGAGCTAACTTTGACTCCCTTAGGAGTCTAGTTACAGACTGCTGAGCTGAATTCACTTTGGGCCAATGGTGCACCAGCACTGGCGCTCCCCTATTATACTATGAGCTGAAATCACAAAAGAGCTGATGTCATTAAGAGCTGAGATTGCTGAGTGCTGTATTAACTAGTGGGGGAGCCTGAAGCTATATTGCTCAGCAGCTGGCGGAGCAATTTGTGGGGATGACTGGAGGAGCAGCGAGCGGCGTGGAGCCTTGCGGGGCTGGTTGGAGTGGCCCAAGGAATGGCGAGCGGAGCTGTTTGCGGGGACGGCTGGAACGGCTCACAGGTCGGTGAGCGGAGTGGAGCGGAGCAGCTTGTAGAGCGGAGCAGTTCATGGGATCGCAGGAAAGTGGACTGGCTCGTGGTAAAGGCTGCAGCGGAACCCCCATGGAGAAACAGACGGCTGGCCAGCCTCGGATCACGTAAGGTGCCCCTTGACACCCTGCGTGCCCCCCCCTTTTACTCTGGGGCTGCACTGACCAGGGACAGAGACTTTGGGGGTTGTTGGACTTTTGGGACTTTGCGTGGTTGCTGGACCCAAGAGACTTTGGGGGTGTTGGACTTTGGGGACTCTGGGTGATTTTTGGGTCGCTGGATTCAAGAACCAAAGGGAAAGGACACAGCCCAATTTGCTGGGGTGGGTTTTGCTCATGGTTTGTGTTATGAATACTGTTTGTGGTGTTTTTCCAATTTTATGCTGATGTCGTTTACCTCATGTTATTAAACATTTTCTGCTACACTCAGACTCCGTGCTTGCGAGAGGGGAAGTATTGCCTCTTAGAGGTACCCAGGGGGGTGGTATGTAATTGTCCCAGGTCACTGGGTGGGGGCTCGAGCCGGTTTTGCATTGTGTTATTGAAACGGAACCCCTAGATACAGAACCCGGCCCTTGTTGCTGCCAACTAGATGGGCAGAAGGGTTACACTTGTAAAGACTTGATTCTTTTTTATGCAGCATCTTGAATCATTCTTGGTATCTTTTTTCCCCTGCTCCTAAACAGCTTGGGTGTGCAGGGATTTTTACATTAACCTGCAGGTAAGAACGGCACCCACTTGCAAGATTCAAAGAATCAAGCAGGACTGTATGGCCGTTCTTTGAGCTAATTGGATATTGATGTTCGTGGGGAGTGAGCTAATCATTTGTTCAGACTGAGGAACTAGGAACTGAATGCTGCCCTGGGGACTCCCACCAGCCAGCTTACCAGCAGGATGTGCAGGGGGAAGGGGTAGAGAGATTATTGAAAGGCTTAGGAGGTAAACTGGACCATGTTCAGCTGGTCTGGATATCAAGCTCTTCCACTGGGGGACTTTGACCGTTTCCAGCAGTCCAGCATTGGAGTCTATGGATCTCAGAAGAGCTTATTTTGCTTTGGGCACATGCAAGACCCATGGGACCAGGTCCCGCAAATGAAAGGTGAGTACAGGACAGGGAAGCAAGGTTTCCTTCTCTGCTGGCCCAAGCATCATCAGTCACCTTGGTGGTTATAGCCCCTGCAAACACTGGCCTCTCCCTCACGCCAGCCTTACGCAGGGTGCAGCTCCATGACTGCGCTGGCGTTACTCCTGACTTGCACTGGGCTGAGCAGAATAAGGCCCTATGGGTGTTTCATTTGGGGATTCAAGGGTTGGAAGAGTCCAAGAAGGAGGCAGGCTGGGGGAGTCCAGTCTGGGGATCATTTCCTGTGGCCCTCAGTGAATGCTGTTAGGCGTATGGATGTTCACTGATCATGAGCAAGAGACCCCAGGCCAGATGCTGCTCTGTGTTGTGCTGGTGTCAATCTGGAGTCGCTGCACTGACTTCAGTGGATTGAGGCTGGTGTAACAGAGCAGACTGAAGCTGAGGCAGCCCCTTCTGTCTCTGGGGCGGTTTCCAGCTTATGGCATTCCCCTCAAGAACAATGCTGCTGAAGGACACCGGGGCAGAGCTCTGTGACCACGGTCATTGGGTGGATCCATGAGTTGCCTACGAGATCCCAGCATTGGTTTCTGTGGTTTGCTGCAGGTGTGTCTTGAAACAAGGGAAAGGCCATGAGCCTGAGACCAAGCTGTGGGCGATGCTGAGGGACCGGGAGCTGCTGCTCTCTCCAAATTCATTCCCTGCCCCTCTCTTTCTCTCCTACAGGTTCCTCCCAGGGCTGGCTGTCATGGATTTGCCATGGGATTGTCACGTCTTTGGCCTTCCTGCTGATGGTCATCACCTTCCCCGTCTCCGGATGGTTTGTCTTGAAAGTAAGTGGGAAATAATGCCTGGTCCTTCCCCCTAAATCCAGATGGTGGTGGGAGGGGGAGAGTCTGAGGAAAGGCAACGATGCCCTTTTCACTGCTTGGAGTGTCCTTAAGCAGCTGCATGCTCACTGCATTGTGTACTGCTGCAGCCTTTCCAGTGGGCACCTATGGCATAAAAGCCAACTGATGGGAGCGGCAGCATTCTCTCCACCTCAGGCCAACCCCTTTGCACTGCCGATAAGACCCAGCTCTCCAGACTAGAGCCAACCCACCAGCTAGTCCATAGCGAGTCTAACATCAGGAGTTCCTGTAGCGCAAAGGCTGACACTGGTGCACACAGTGCTCTCTCTGCATTTCTAGGGCACCTTTCCCCTGAGAAGCAGAAAGGGCTTTGTAATCATCATGAATGAAGCCTGGCAATGCTCCAGGTGTGAATGCAAGAGGCTCTCCTGGGGGACTGGAAGGGTGGAGAGTCTTTATTTTCTACTATTAAAATTTGTGTAAATGTATATTCAAGGTAAATGCAGCTGCAGGCTACAGGCAAGTTGTCAGTGCAGCCTGTGGCATCTCAAAATTGGGGATCCCCTGGTCTTGAGAGGTGCTGCATACCCTTGACTCCTGTTGACTCCAGTGGGAGTTGGAGGAGCTCAGCTTGCCTGTAGTGTGTATCATCTGGCCATGGGATTCTGCTCAGCTTACCGAGTACTGAGTTTACATCTGGGGTCAAGCAAACATCTGGGGTCACCTGTCAGAGAAGGGTATACCTCGCAGGAGGGGCCAAATGACTTTTAGAGATCTCAGTAGTTTTTCATTTTCTCCCAGTTGATTCGAATGTAATGAATCATGGCCAGATGCAGCAGAGCCCATGGTTGTCCTTGGGGATTGAACCCATGAGCTCCACACCAGAAGCACAAACCCTTACTGTTGGTGCAAAAGGATGAGCTCCATTAGCTATATCGTGGGGCTCTTATGTTTGCCAGAGCCAACCACTAGAGGGAGCACCGTGCATTAAGCCCGGGCATTGTAGGGACAGAGAAATGACTTTTCTTAAACTGCCCAATGTGTATTTTTCCTCCTGCCTATTTGGTTTAAATGTTTCCTTTCCAGATAGTCCCTGCCTACGAGCGAATGACTGTATTCCGCTTGAGCCGGATCCGAGCCCCCCAGGGGCCAGGCATGGTCCTGCTGTTGCCGTTCATAGATCACTAGCAACTAGTAGACTTGAGGACAAGATCCTTTAATGTGCCACCGCGTAAGGTGAGCTACATCCATTTCTAAGGTGGAGGATTTGCTATGTTATGGGGCAGCTTCTCCAATGAGCCTGGTCATCCATTGCAACCCTCTTGAAGAGATCAGGGTATAGACCTTTGCAAACTTTCCTAGTGAAAGCCACATGTTGAATCTTGCATGCTTTGGGCTTTCATTCCAGTTGTAAAATTGTAGTACAGATTCACAAACCTTTTAGATGAACTGAGGCCAAATATCATGAGATGGCAGGCCAGGTTTTCCTTCCGCACAGCCTTCCAGGGGGCATGCTGAGCCAAGATTTTCAAAAGCAACCAGTGGTTCTGGGTGCCTGAATTTGTGGGTGTCCAAGGTAAGTGACACCTGCTTTTCCAAAAGTGCTGACCATCCACCTGTGAAAATCAGGTCCTTTTCAGGTATCTCCAGGTAGGCACCCACAATCACTACTCTTGTAGAACTTGGCTGTGATTTAGACCAGCCCAACCTTGATGGTTTGGGCCAGGTTGGTGTTTATTCCAACTCAAAATGAAATGGGGGGTTGGGATTGAGCCATGGACAAAAGACAAATGTTGACGAATGTCTCATCGACAAAAAATATTAGTTGCAAATCCGTGTGATCTGAAATTGAGATGATGTTGTTAATGTAACCCTTCTTCCACGTGGAGCCAGCAGCAACCAGGGCTGGGTTCAATATCTAGGAGTTCCTTTCCATCGATGCAACACAGAACTGGCTCGAGCCCCGCCCCATAACCTGGGAAAATTACGCACCTGAGAGGCAATAGTTCCCCACTCGCAAGCACAGAGTTTGAGTGTTAATGAAAGGAGGGAAGTCACCGAATATTAATTAGATAAAATGCCACAAGCGGGATTCATAATCATAAAACTGTGAGCAGGACACCCATCCCAGCGTGCGTGGGGCAGTGCTTTCCGCCTCATGTTCTTGAGTTCTACAACCAAAAGTTCCTTTTCTGTGCCCCTCTCTGCTCCCTCACCATACCCCACTCACAGTGGTTGTCCTTGGTCAGAGAAGACCCAGGGTTCAGAGGTGCATCTGTGTGAGTTCACCTCCCATCTGGGGAAGAAGGCACCTTGCTGGCCGCCCCATCGGCCGTGGTTCCTCTCCACTGGCCGTCCCGCCAGCCGCTTGTTCTCACTGCCTCGCCAGCCGCTTGTTCTGCTCACTGCCTCGCCAGCCGACTGTCAGTCACCTTCTGCTGTCACTTGCCTCTCTGCTGTGACCTCTGCACACCAGTCTCTTAGTAATTTTCAACTCTGTGCAGAACACAGTCCCACCCCAACTGATATCAGCTCTGATCGAGCCTTTTAAATAATAAAGAGGCTCCTAATGAAGCCTATTTAGCGCTTTCTTTTAACAGTGCGGAGGAACAGGTTAAACCAGTCTGGGGAGGACCCCTAGGGAGGGTCCACATCTCTTGGCTGGGACACCTGTCCCCACCCCTCTTACTGTCACAGGGCTCTGGCATTCGAGCCCCTGGCTAAACAAGGTCCTTTCAGCTGTGGGTGACCCCCTCATTTGGGACAGGTTAAGCGAAGTTCTGTTCCCTTTTATTCATACAATAATGACAACATTGGTAACAGCATTTCACTGCCCCTGCATTCAGTACTAAAATGATTTGTAACCCAACACCAGCCAAAGTTGATTACTTTGAGCAACACACCACTCTATCTGCTTGATATCTAAGCAGAGCAGGCGCAAACTGTATTTACATGAACACACCTAAAGGCTCTCCCCCTCCCAGCTAGCTGTCAGGGAAGAATTCATTGAGACCCTGCTTACATCGATAATAATAATCATGTTATTTATGACAATGTCTAAGGGCCAGCCAAGAATGGGGCCCCATTGTGCAAGAAGTGGACAGCCACAGAGTACCAGATGGCCCCTGCATCTGTGATCTTACAATCTAGATAGACAAGACAGACACAGGGTGAGGGAGGAGGTAGAACTTGTCCCCGACCCCCCCACCCCCATTGGTGCTGGGTGACCCTGTGAGGGCGTAGCGTTCGGGTCTGGACAAGTACCTTAAAGTTGATTCAGATACTCACCCAAGGCAGCAAAATTCAGCCAGAAGGCTCACGCTGACAGGTTGCCTGGTGAAATCTTGAGTACTTCTGGTGTCTGCTTGGGGTGGAAACTACACAAGAGGAGCCCTTAGCACAGTCTCTTGGTTACATTGGCATCTGGTTCCAGAAGGACCAAGAAGTGCCATCAGTAAGGCCCTACCAAATTCACGGTCCATTCTGGTCAATTTCATGGCCATAGGATTTAAAAAATCATAAATTTCATGATTTCAGCTATTTAAATCTGAAATTTCTCGGTGTTGTAATTGTAGGGGTCCTGACCCAAAAAAGGAGTTCGGGGGGTGGTGTGGTGGTGTCACAAGGTTATTGTAGGGGGGGGGTTGCAGTACTGCTACCCTTATTTCTATGCTACTTCTGGCAGTGGTGCTGCCTTCAGAGCTGGGCAGCTGTAGAGCGGTGGCTGCTGGCCGGAAGCCCAGCTCTGAAGGCAGAGCCATCACCAGCAGCAGCACAGAAGTAAGAATGGCACAGTATGGTATTGCCACCTTTACTTCTGCGCTGCTGCCTTCAGAGCTGGGTACTTGGCCAACAGCTGCAGCTCTCCAGCCACCCAGCTCTGAAGGCAGCACAGAAGTAAGAGTGGTAATACTGTGACCCCCGTAAAATAACCTTGTAACCTCCCTGCAACTCCCTTTTGTGTCAGGACCCCTCAATTTGAGAAACACTGGTCTCCCCCGTGAAATCTGTATAGTATAGGATAAAAGCACACAAAAGACCAGATTTCACGGGGGAGACCAGATTTCATGGTCTGTGATGCATTTTTCATGGCCGTGAATTTGGTAGGGCCCTAGCCATGATGCATGAAATGAAGGAGAAGGAGTTAACTCATTTGGGTTTTTATAACTCTATAAATAAGATTTGGTTTGACATTTGTGGAGGTTGGTTTGTGAGGTTTTCCTATATTTTGTTTTGCCTGTTTAAATGAATCGGGGAAGCCCCACTGGTCAGGAATCAGAGTTTGGGGGATAGCAGTCCAGATCTTCCAAGGTATGTGGGCACCTAACTTCTATTGAATCAGGCCCTCTTTGTTAATGCTGCTGTTCACAGCTGACCTCCAAGGATGGAGCTGTGATCTCCATGGGGGCTGATATCCAGTTCCGGGTGTGGGATCCAGTGCTGTCTGTCATGATGGTGAAGGATCTGAATGCAGCCACCCGAATGATGGCCCAAAACGCCATGACCAAGACCCTGCTGAAGAAGAACCTGAGGGAGATCCAGACGGAAAAGCTGTGGATTGGGGACCAGCTCCTGGTGAGGGTTTGCTTATGACCTTGGGCCCTGCTCCTGTGCTGTGACATGGGAAGTGAAGCACCCCATTGCAGTCTGTGCCTCACCAGCTGCAGGACCTGAATCCCTAATTCTCTAGCTATGTAACACACGGAAATAATGACCAAGGAGGGAAACTATAGCTGCTGCACTCTGAGTCTACCCCCAAGGGACTATGTGGATTCTCAAGGTTTCACTGTGTCTCAGAGCCAGAGGTGTGCTGGGGTGTGCAGGATGCAGGATAGGGTGGAGATGCAGCCCCTATGGGGCAGTCTGGGGTCATTACAAGTGCACAGGAGAGAGGCAGGCAGAATGCCTCAGGGGGAATCAAGCGAAGGGCTACCAGGTGTAAAGGGGATAAGGCGGATACACAGAGGACACCTCAGGACTACAAGGAGGGAATGGAGCATGCTCTGGGGGCCTCTCTTGTTCCATGCAGCCTGCTCAGCCAGAGCTCAGAGTGGAAGGGATTCTTTCCATGCTCCATTATAGTCTGTTGCTTTGCACTTACCCAGATCTGACTGGGATGTTTTTGCTTCTTGCTTTGCTGCTTGTCTTTTAGCTTGAAATCAATGACATGACCAAGTCTTGGGGCCTGGAAGTGGATCGGGTTGAGCTGATTTTGGAGGCAGTGCTGCAACCCTCCCAAGAGAGTCTGTCCGGACATCTAACCATGACACCCCCGATCCCTGGGTTTGAAGGACTAGATAGCACCATTCAGCAGCTGGCTGCTCACTTCTTTAGCAACAGCATGGCGGTGGCAGCAGCAGCTAGTCATGAGACAGGTAACCAGCCTGGCTGCACCTCCCTCTCCCATGCCTGCTACGTGCTCTGCTTTTATCCTCAGGAGGACAAAACAAGAAGTCCTTGCTTGGCTTTTAAACAGCCAGGATGTCTATAGGCATCAGTGGATGAATCTGGCTCTCAGACCCCAGTGGGACAGACCACGTCTGTTGTGGCAAAGTTTTGCCAGAAGTGACCGTAGAGCAGCAGCTGAGAGTCATGGCAAACTCCCATTGTGAGAGGAGGGATTTAACTGGTATCTCTGAGGCTGCTGTGCAGTGAGTGTTGCCAAATGTCTCTTCCATGGTCAACAGGACAGGAAGAAGAGATTAAATGAGGACTGTCTATTTCAGTACTTCTCAAACCCTTGCCATAGTATATGGGCACTTCACAATCTATTGTATTTAGCCGCACAGCCCCCATCAGAGGTTGGGCAGTGCTATTATCCCCAGTATACAGAGGCACAGACAGGTTAAGAGACTTGCCCAAGCTCAGACAGGAAACTTGTGGCAGAGCAGGGGATTGAAGCTGGGTCTCCTAAGTCCCAGACTAGTACCCTAACCACTGGATCATCCAACTCTTAGAACAGGACTCACAATACCACTCTTCTCTGTTTTTATGTTGTAGCAGGTTAATATAATACCCCGATACGATGGGGGTTCGCATGCTATACATGTGGCCGATAGAGGATGGATGGACAGGAAGGACTAGGGGACTCCTTTCTGACCGCTCATCAGAGCTTTACTGGACAGTGGCTTGTGGATCCCTGCCACTCTTGGGCTGACAGTTAACTTCATCCCAATCAGCCTGGTGCCCCCGATCCCATCTTTACACCTTTGTCCCCAGCAGACAGCGTGGTGACAGTGAATGAGGCAGAACCACCAGCTCCTACCATCACCACCACCAGTAGCAGCAACAGGAGGAAACCTAGCCCTGAGGAGTTGCTGTCAGCTGTGGAGCTGTTCCTGTCTGAGTCCTTGGTTGGCGCAGTTGGAGCTTCCTACCAGTTCAACATCATACTTCTGAGTGGTGCCCGGAGCACCTACTTCATAGATCTCACTGCAGGTCACTGCCATTTATTCTCCCTGTGTTTGGGAGGCACTTTGGTGGGTGAGGACTTTGAGCTGTGTTGTGTGTGGGTGCAAGCGTGTGCATGCTCTTTATTCTCCACACACAGAGCTGAACTCATTAGTAGAGTTGGTTGTAAAATGCGGGGTTGGGGGAATTCCTTGGAAAAAGTCAACTTTTCAGTGAATAATTGAAATATTTTGGTTCTGAAATGGTGCCACTTGGGAGCTGTAGTTTGGCGGGGGGGGGCACCTCAGTTTCTTCTCTAACACAAGCTCCTGGTAGTATTCGTTCTCTGCGAAGGTGTGTAGCACCCCATGGGTCAGCCAGAACTCGCAACCAGGACAGCCTGGGTATAATCAAGGAGGCTCCCTGCTCTGCTGTGTAAACAGAAACAGGACGCTGAGCAGGAGATGGGACTAGAAGCAATCCAGGTTGCAAGGGGTGGTGATATCTCCTCCTAGGCTCCAGAAGATGAACCTGACCAGGCTCAGAGACTGTGTCAGGGGTCTGGGCGCTGACAGCCCAGCTCAGTGGTTAGAACTGGGCTGAGGGGGCAAAGGGTCAGAGCCCAAGTCAGGAGCCAGGAAGAGGACATGGGCTGGAGCACAATCCATCACAGCTGGGGGCCCAGCATTGAGCAGCTAGCGACCTGCTGCTGAGCTTAAAAACAGGCCTGCTGACTCTTTTCAGGCAGCCCTAGCAGAACCCATCAATCAGCCTGGAGAGTACTCAGGCCCAGTGGGAGGTGCCTGGTTCTGACAGCTTGCTGTGAGGTCTTTGAGCTGAGGAGTTGTGAGCCAGGGTCTGAGGTGAGATCTTATTAAAGGAGACAAATTTACTCTGATTAGCTTGTTTTTTTGGCTTGCACTTGTCCAGATCCTTTATGAGGAATGTTTTGATACCAACTGGGGAATATAAGATAGAGCTAACATGCAGTGTCACATCCAGCCACAAAAGGGTACACAGGGATGGCACATAGCTTTACATTTCCCATGATACCACACTGTTCCATGACCATGCCTTGCATGGCAATGATGCATCATGGGAGATGAAATCCAGCCTGGCTGGCACAGGAAGAATAGGAGCATGAAGCGCCTGAACTACAACTGCTATCAGGCACCGCAGCAGCATTTCCAAATAGAAGTATTTTGGTTTTGCAGCTGAAAATATTCCAGTTTTTGGGCACTTGGTGGTTCAACAAAAAATCAGTTCTCTGTGGAGAGCAAAAACCCAATATTCCTTCAAAAAAAAATTTAGATGGAAAATTTTACATACAGAAATTTGTCTCCTGCCCATCTCCATAACGAGCAGTGACTGTGGTGTGGGATTGCTAGTTGTTGTCCACCTCTAGCCCAAGGTGGCAGGAAGACGATCCCCTCCAATGGCTGCTTGGCCTAAAGCACATTGTCTGGGTGAACTCCACTTCCTAGCTGACGGGCAGCCATGTTGCTCAGTAACCCACCAGCATCCTAGACATTAACTGGCACCTTTGTTGGTGCCCTCAGCAGAGAGGGTGTGGAGGAGGACATCCCTTCCCATCTGGGATGCTACTGGAGCAGTGTAGGGAGAAGCTTGCCCTACTGCTGGAGGGAGGGGACTGTCCCCTTTCACCAGCGTTAAATTCACTTCATTAAACAAACCAAACACAAAGGGCCTCTGGCTTCCCCAAAGTTTTAGATGTGAAACCCTGGTACTGATCCCCTCTCTCTCTCCCTCTCTCATATATCCATGCCCTGCAGGCAGTGGGCGGATTGGCCTTGGGGACGCTGAGCGCAACCCTGATGTGATTCTGGAGATGACGGAAAATGACCTGCAGTCTTTCTTCTCAGGTGAACTTCATCCTCTGAGTGCCTACATGAGTGGGAGGTTGCGTGTCAAGGGCGACCTGAGTGTTGCCCTGAAACTGGAGGAGCTCTTCAAGGCAATGAAACAACATAGATAGAGAAAGAGAATGTGTGTGTGAGTGTGCGCACGCATATGTGCATGTGTGAGAAGGCAGGAGAAGCGAAGAGTCTGGCAGGAGAACCATCTGATTGTGAAGGGTGTGAGGATTCAAGCTCTTCTATTCTTTATTTCATGCTCTGGGGAATTGATCATTGCCCAGGGAAGCAGGAAGACAAATCCCCTCTTTGATGGGATCCCTGGGGTGCAGCCTGGGACCACTGTACCCCCTTAACTCTCCAGCCTGGGCTCTCACAATGCTTTGCTAATGACAAGTAGCAAACTCCTCTAGGTGCTGTGATCACTCAGCGCAACTGCATGTGGAACCCCACACGCAGATAGATTGCATGAATGCTCCCAGAGCCACTCATGAATCACAGAGAAAGGCACCAGCCGAATCACCCCAGCTCCTAGCACTGTAATTCAAGAATATACCATCTTGCACTGCTCAAGACGAGCAGTGCAAGTTTATTAATTGGTTTGCCACTTCAATGGAAAGTGGATATACACCAGCCTTTGCAAACCTGAGCAGATTTACCAAACACTTCAAGCAAATTCACTGGTAAAGATAAACAGTAAAAGAAGTTTATTGACTACAAAAAATAGATTTTAAGTGATAAGCAAAAAGTCAGAGTTAGTTACCAAAATAAAATAAAATATAAGCATGCAGTCTAAACTCTCAACTCTATTAGAATGGGTATTATCTAGATTAAGCAGTTTTTCTCACCCCCCTGGATATTGCAGTTCATAGTACACAGGTTTCACCCTTGAAACCTTGGCCAGTCTCCTCTGTTGGAGTCTTCAGTCTCCTGAGCATCCTTGCTGCTTGCAGCATAGGTGGGGGAAGGAGAAAAGGCCAGGCATGTTGCCCTGTGTTCTGTTTTATACCCTTAGTCCATGTGCTTGGAGAACACAAGTCCAGGCATGTCTGGTGGGCATTGCTGACAAGGTTAAGCAATTCCACTGGTATGGCCTTATGCAGGTGAGTCATTGCATTGTAGCTCCCTTGCTAGACAATGGCTGTTGATGGTTGTTCGACACTTGCCTGGGCGTTGGTTATCCCCCTGGTTATTGTCTCTGGAGAGCTAGTATCTGGGAGCTTCCCAAACCCACAGCATATTTTAGTGACAATCATACAACACAATTCTCATAACTTCATATGCACCAATGATATATATATATATTTAGATGGAACAGTGGGTTTCAGCAGATCGTAACCTTTCCCATGATACCTTACATGGCATGCTTTATGTGCAATATCACAATTATATACAAAATGATTAATATGTGGGTTATAGGATGCTCCCCTGGGGTGTAGAGTGTGACACCTGCTAAACAGGAGTGCCCTGGGGGAGCGCAGAATGATAGTGCCAAGAGGTCACATTGAGAACCCAGCAAAATCCACTTGGCACAATGCTCTGATGATGGAGGTTGTGTACCAGTGGGTCAGGCCTAAGCAAACTTCCGAAGGGAAGTGGTGGATTCTGCAGCTCTCAGTGCCATCTCAACAAGCCCAGAAGCCTTCCTGGAAGATGTGGTTTAGCCAAGCACAAATTGTTGGGATCAGCACAGGTGTACCTAGGTGAATTCTCTGGCGTGTGTTATGCAGGAGGTCTAATGGTCCCTTCTGGGCTTACAATCTATGAATCAGCTCAAGAAGAGGAAAAACATCAGGTGAAACGCTTGATGCACAGCTGGGTTTCAACCCAGGCTTTTGTTTTTGTGGATGCACATGTTAGTACAGAACCTCCCCACACCATTGGAATTTGTGTTACTCCCTAATTGAAGTCTACAAGAGTTTCGTATCCCCTGAATGTGGACATTTGGACAACTAAACCCTTAAAATCCCATCCATCTTGCTGGGCATCTTGCCCTGTCAGGTGAATTCCATTGAGTGGCATTGGGTTCCTGTCAACAAAAGATAAACCACTCCCTTCCAGCAGGAGAGGTGGAATTGCAGTGTTCCAGGACTGCAGCTAGTCATCTAACTACTTGATTTGTTGATGCAAAGGGATGTTTAGGTCTTGTCCACATGGAACATTACTGCAAGGCATGGCGAGGTGTGACTCTACAGCACACTAGCTTGCCACAGTGCAGCATCCCTATGTGGACACTGCTATGGCGCATTAAAATCTCAGAATGTGCGTAGATTCACACCCTGGCTTGCCATGCAGTAACTTCCACATAGACAAGCCCTGTTCTCTAACTGCTGATTTTTGCACCCACGATTTGCAAGTGAAAAATGGTGCCTTTGAAAACAAAAGCATTTCTAAAACTTTGGGCCACAGAATCTATACAGGAGGGGTCAGAGAAGGAGATTTTGGGAATGTCCTAGACTAAGGATCCCTAGAAGTTCTTGAACTTCCCTGTACATGTTGTTAGAATTCAGTGGTTGGTCTAATTTGTGCTTCAAAGTGATTTGCATGCTTTTGATTAGCTATATATGTGGGTGTGTATATGTGTATATGTACATATGTTTATTTTGTAAGTTCCTCTAAATTAATTCTTGATCTACAATAAACATGTTACATGTACCTAGCTATCTGAGTGTGGTGGTCTGATCATTTGTATACATTAAGAGGATAAAGCACTGGGCTGGGACTCAGGAGATCTGGGTTTACTTCTGGCTCTGCCGCTGATTTTCAGGTGTCCTTGGGCAAGTCACTTTGCATTTCTGCCTCAGTTTTCCCATCTGTAGAATAGGGATAGTGATACTGCCCTCCTTTGTGAAGTGCTTTGAGATCTACAGGTGAAAAGCCCTACATGAGAGCTTGGGATTACTAATGAACACTTTTTGTGGTATCTGTAGCTATGTAACTTTGGTGTACTGTGGCTTTAAATTTCTCTAGCTCTACTGTCTGCCAAGATGCATTGCAGAGCTCATGCTGCATGCTGGAAGCGGGAAATCCCCACTCTCTCTCTTCACACTTTCTCAGGGGAACAATCATTTGTTTTTTGTTGAGACAGGGGTCTCAAACTCAAATGACCATGAGGGCCACATGAGGACTAGTACCGCCCCCAGCAGCTCCCATTGGCTGGGAACAGGGAACCGCGGCCAATGGGAGCTGCTGGGGGCAGTGCCTGAAGCAACAGCAATACACAGACCCTGTGCCCCTCCCTTCCCCACGTTCCGGCCGGCACGGGGGCAGGGCAGGCAGGCAGGGAGCCTGCCCTTCCCCTGGTCCACGTCGGGCCGGAGCCCCTCTACGTAAATGCTGGGGGAGGGCGGGGGGGGGACCGCGAGGAGCTCTTGGGCCGCAGAAAATCACCCCGCGGGCCGCATGTGGCACGCGTGCCGCGTGTTTGAGACCCCTGGTCTAGGACGATGGGGCCCAGCGTGGTTGACCTCTGGGCACTTATACAGTAGAAATGTTTATTAATAATTAATGTGCTGTACACCAAGGATAGATGACTCCATTCTCCTGGCACCAAATCCTTTTAAAAGATACAGGAAGATGAGGACTTGTCCTACCATCAACGCTGAGACATCCTCAAGAGCAAGCTAGGCCTGCAGCAGACCACTCAGCTGGCAGCTGACACAGCTGTAAGCCTCCTGGTTCCATACCAGTGTCATGGCAAGGGGTGAGGCAAAAGCGACAAAGGAAACACACCCACCGTTCCTATAGAGCATGTCTTGCTCTAATCCATGATGTGAGTATATCCTGGGCAGGGCTGGCAGGTTCCCTAGCCAGGAACCTGATTGTTGCCTTAAGCACCAATCTTTGAGCAGCACAAAACCACCAGAGGCAAACTCTATAATCTTTAGTCAAGCAAAGAGCCCAGTGCCTTGATCAGGAGTTTTGCTATATAAGGAAGGTGCACTTTGGCCCATAACAATTCATTACAAAGCTGCAATAAACAAGGAGGTGCCCTTTTACTGGTGCTTTCAGGCCTGAACTCCTACAATCCCTTCTGCTGGCCCCGCTCTCTGTAAATAACCATCCTGTCCTAAAACAAGCTTTAGATTTCTTTTAAATAGCAGGCTAAAGCCCTACTGTGGCTGAAAGCAAAACTGCAATAGAGTAAGAGATTTATTCCCCTCCCCACCCCCCCTCTTGGGCCAAGATAGGCTAGTGTTAATCAGGAGTACCCACAAATGTTGATGGAGCTGGTCTGATGACACTGACGTAACAGATCAGAAATCTGGCCCAGTGAGATAAAAGACCTAGCTCTGCTCCTGAGCCATGTGCTAAGGGGAGGTGAGGATTTCATTGGCACCCATAGCAGCACTAGGCACCCAGCACAGCTGTTATTGTGTGGCGAATTCCATGCATGTTACACTGCGATTGAATCCCAGTCAGTGGGTGGGCCTCAGCGCCTGCCCCTTGTCACACATCTCCAGTGACCCTGGTAGCAACCATGAAATGATGACGTATGTTTGCATCTTAGGGCATGTAGGGTTACCATATTTGAACATTGAAAAAAGAGGACACTCCACAGCCCCCACCCCGGCCCCAACTCCACCCCTTCCCCGCCCCCATTCCCAGGGGCGGCTCTATGTTTTTTGCCGCCCCAAGCACTGCAGTCAGGCGACCTTTGGCAGCACGCCTGTGGGCGGTCCGCGGTCACGCGGATTAGGCTGCGTTTCTGCAGGTGATCTGCCGGTCCTGCGGCTTCGGCGTACCCACTGCCGAATTGCTGCCGAAACCGTGGGACCGGTGGACCTCACAGCGACCAGCAGGCCATCCCCCGTGGCTTGCCACCCCAGGCACGCGCTTGCTGCGCTGGTGCCTGGAGCTGCCCCTGCCCATTCCAACGCCTTCCCCAAAGTCCCCGCCCCAACTCCGCCACCTCCCTGCCCCCATTCCAACCCCTTCCCCAAAGTCCCCGCCCCGGCCCCGCCTCCTCCCCTGAGCACATCACATTCCCCCTCCTCCCCCCTCCCTCCCATTCCCCCTTCTCCCCAAGTTTCCCAGCTCCTGCCGCTCTCCAGCCCGTGCGCCCCTGGCTGGGTGCTTCCCACGCACAGCAGCAGCCAGAGCCAGGGGGCGGGAAGTTGCTTCGGGCCCCGGGCCTGCCCCCGAGCCCAAGCTGGGCATCCCAGCCCCAACGCGCTCCCACTTGCGAGGCTGCATCCCAGCCGCGGGCTCCCTCTCTGGCCGGGCTGGAGCAGAGAAGTACTGCGTGCATGGCCTGGGCCTTGCCCCCAGGCTCAGGGGGGCCTCTACCCTGCTCCCATCCGGACCCGGCGAGGCTGCGGGAGGCGCTGCAGCGCGGGCCCTTCCCGGGGGGAGGGAGCTCGGGCTCCCGAGAGCTGCTGCTGCGCGCCGAGAAACTTTCCCCTGCGCTCCACGGTGGGGAGGGAGCCCCGGCTGCATGGACCACTGGCGGGGGGCTCCTTGCACGGCCGGGGTGGAGGGGGGAGACTGAGGCTCTGCCAGAGCCGCGGGGGATGCTTGGAGGAGGGAGAAGTGGCCGCGGGTCCCATCTCCCCTGCACCCCCAGTTGGCTGCAGAGACGCCACCACTCTGCAGCAGCACTGGGGGGAGGAGGAGTTGCAATCCGCAGGCTGCAGTGAGCTGACACTCCAAGAGGAGAGAGGGGCAGTGGGTAGGGTTATCATACGTCCATATTTTCCGGACGTTTTTATATATTTAAAAAATCCTCCTGGAGGACGATTAACAACTAAAAAGCCGGACATGTCCCGGAAAATACGGATATATGGTAACCCTAGGAATCGATCCACATTAGCAGCTGTCCCGCCCACTCGCAGCCATGCATGGAGTGAGTACTGCAGGCAGCTTGCCCAGCGGCACCTCCCCTCTCTGCCAATGGGGACCTGGAGCAGAAATGGGGCAGTGAATTAGGCCTCTTAACTGTAAGTTAAAGTCCTTTCTGAGAGGCTCAACCCCCAAATGCTGATCTATGCACCCTGGAGCTTTGGAAAGCTCAGGCCTGGATCCAGACCCAACATGCGTGGCCTCAGGCTCATTATCTCTCTGAGAAGCTCTGTCTCTGGGAGGGCCGGGTGTTCTCAGAATGATCACCAGAGGGCAGGGCAGGAGGCGGCTGCACAGGGAAAGGGACTCACTACAGGCCAGAAACAGGAAGAGGGGTTATTTTCCCTTCTCAGAAATCGAAACTTACCAGCCAGAACCTGCTGAAGCAATTACTCAGCAAAGGAGTGCCCAGATCCCGCAGGTACAGTTCTGATAGAGGCAGGGCCTTGTGGACTATGGCTCTCTTGTCCCAGGGGAGCCCAGGCAGCCTGCAGACCCAAGTGAGCTTATTGCGATGGTCGGATCTTCCTGAGGGACTGGCTGGGATGTTTAGTGACATCTGCTACATGCAAAAGGAAAACGAGGAGCAGCAAGATGTGTAGGAGGCGGGGAGATGCCTGAGGACCCCGCCTCCCCACTGCAGGTGGTACTGTGTCCAGGACACATGGGAGGTTAGCATGACAATAGTGACCATGCAGCAGGGGAAGTGGCTGGGCAAAGGGGGAATAGGGCATCAAAGGGGGCAGGGGAAGTGAGAGACAACCTGGAAGTGGGGAGGGTCTCACAGCTCTGTGGAGTCTCCTGCTTGCAGCTGGGGGTGCCTGCCAGTTACCCAGCTCCGCCCAGGACTTTTGTGGGCTGTTTCTTCAGCATGCCCTTGTAGAGAAGAAGGGTGGCCCAGTGGTTTGAGTGCTAGCCTGTGTATCAGGAGACGGGTTCTATTTCCTGGTGCCCACCACAGGTTCCTTATGGGACCTTGGCAAGTTGCTTGACAAAGCCCTGGCTGGAATGATTTAGTTGGGGATTGGTTAGGGTGACCAGATGACAAAGATGAAATATCGGGACGCGGGGGCGGAGCAAAAGGAAAAAAAAAACAAAAATAACTGCCGGAGTGTCCCCCCCGCCGCCAGTGGCACAGCCCCATCTCGCTCCCCCATCCCCTAGCTTCCGGGCCCAGCCTGGGCTCCGAGCTGCCCGGCAGGGCGCTGCTCTGCGCTGGGGGATGCGGGAGCGGGGTCAGACGTGCCCCCAGTCACCTGGGCCTGTGGTTCAGCCCCTCTTCTTCCTCTTCCTCCATCCTGGGCTCGGGCTCCGCACGCCACGCCCCGGGCAGGCTGGAGCCGGCTCCTGGGGCGGTCCCGGCAGAGACAAGGAGCCGGTTGCTCGCCGCAGCTCCTGCCCCGCAGCGCTGCAGCCCGCCCCTGCGGGGGTCAAGGCCTTTGCTGGGGCCGTGTGCGCCCTGCGGTGCCAGCTGTGTCCCAGCCCGGGGCCTGGCCCAGTCACCCCTGACCCTGTGTGCCTTGGCCGGGCTCCTACTCCTGCCCCTGCCCTTCCCGCAGCCTTTGGGAGCCCAACTTGTGTGGAGGCGCTGGCTGCTTTGCACTCAGGTCTTGAGCTGAGCCCCCCCTCATCTCCCCTGGGGGAGCAGCCCCCTTGCCAGCCCCCCTTGCCCGCCTGGTGCCGGAGCTCGCACTCACCAGCTCTACGAAGGCCACCCCCTCCCTCCAGGCTTGCGCTGCCATACAGCTGATCAGCAAGCCTGGGAGGGAGGAGGAATGCCGCATGCTTGGGGAAGAGGCGGGGCCAGGGCGGGGATTTGGGGAGGGATCCAATGGGCAAAGGAGGGGGTGGGCGAGAGCCCCTCTGGGCTCTGCCTGTGCGCTGGAGCGGAGGGCAAAATTGCTTGTTTGTCCAGTGTCCCGACCGATGTTTGCGGGACAAACAAGCAAATATCGGGACAGTCCCGATAAAATCGGGACGTCTGGTCACCCTAGGATTGGTCCTGCTTTGAGCAGGGGGTTGGACTAGATGACCTCCTGAGGTCCCTTCCAAACCTGATATTCTATGACTCAGGCCCAGATCCTCAAAGGTAGGGAGGTGCCTAACTCCCACTGACTCTAGGGGGAGTTCAGAGCCTATTTGAGCATCTGTGCCACAGTTTCCCATCTGTACAATGGACATAACTGATACCCCACCTCACCATTGTAAGTGTGAGTGCCTCAATGGTTGTGAGGAATTGTTATAACAGGGGTGCAATAAGGACCTTAGAGAGATGGAACAAGGCTGGGCAAATGCATCTACAGTGGGAGAGGGAGCGTCAGCCCAGAGTCACCAAGCAGCACTCCCTCTTAGCCCTGCCAGAAGAGAGACAGCTTGGTGGGGAGGGGGTAATGTTCACCCTGGGGGGTGAAAAGTGAGGTGAGAGAGAAGGGGGGGAAGAGACAGATGTAGGAGAGGGAGGGGTTTCTTGGGATGATACCCAGCTGAGAAAGTAAAAGGTACTTTTCCTCTGTCTCCTCCATGCCATGCCCCCTATGCTGAGGCTGGGATAGGGGGTGACATAGGGTCACCTCACACCCCCAAGAGCATGCGACTTGCTCTGTGACACCAGAGCAGCAGTGGGAAAGCACCCTCAATGGGGTCCAGGACCTGGCCCATCAAGTTGCCTGCATATAGCATGTGTCGCCTCCCTCGCTGAGCTGCAAAACAGAACCATACAGCACTGGTAACCCCAGGCCTCAATCTCTCTCCTTTCCAAAGGTGATGGAGGAAGAATTCCAGTTCCTGCTCTGCCAGGGATGCCGGAAAGAACCCAGAAATCCTAAGCTCCTGTCCTGCCTTCACACCTTGTGCGCCAACTGCCTGGAAGAGAACAAGCCTGTTGGCCAGTGCCCCATCTGCCGCGCTCCCATCCCACAAGCCAGTGGGATCCCAGACCAGGACAACCTGCTCTTCGCCAATCTGCAGGCCAAGCTGAGCACCTACCAGAAGATCGTCAAAGGCAATGACCTGGTCTGTGACAACCGTGGGCAAGAGGGACAGTTCTGGTGCTCTGACTGCGAGGAGTTCCTTTGTGTCAAGTGCTTTGAGACCCACCAGAGGTATCTAAAGCGAGAGAGCCATGAGGCCAAGGCGGTGAGGGATCTCAAGGTGGGATCTGCCAGGGAGTTTCTTGTTGGTTCCAGGAAGCTCAGTAACTTGTCCTGTCCCAATCCAACCCATGCAAACCAGATGCTGAGGTAATGTTCACAACCTGATCTGTTTTCCGTGCAGTTGCACCCAAAGTCTCTTTCCAGGACCAGCTTTCTTTTTCATATGTAGGCAAAACAGTTCCTCAGCCCAGCCTGGGCTCCAGCTCCCAGCCCCGTGCCTTGGTCAGTCCTTCCTGCTTCAGGGCCTGCTGCAGGATTCTTCTGTCCGCACTTAGCTGAGCACCACCTCCCACCGCTCTCGTCCCAGAGGCTCCCATTCCCCAGCAGGTTCCCACTGCCACCCCTCCAGGGGACTCGCTCTGCTCCTGCTCCTGCTCCCCCTTCCCTCTTGACAGCCTGGCTCTTCACAGCCCCAGCTGCTGCCCTGCCCTGCCCTCTTAACTGGCCAAGCTGGAAGCACCTGTTCTAGCACAGGGCACTGGATCTACATCATTTAAAGGGGCCCACCACCCTGTGGCAGTCACTGTTGGGTGACAAATCATATTGGGCCAGCTGGTATCAATGGGCCTCGCCTCTTTAACTGCAGTGATTTACCCCAGCTGGGATCTGGTCCATTTTCTTTAGCAAGCAGATGCAGATTGGCAAAGAGGAAGTCGGAGGGAGGAATGAGAATGTCAACGCAGAGCTGTTCAGTCAGTCATAGGAGGGAGAGGTGGCTGGGAATCAGGCAGGCTCTCTCCTAGTTAAGGATGTTGCTGGGGGAGTGGGTTGTGGGAAGAGAAGGGGTGCTCTGCCTGGGGAATGATCTGAACTCCCCAGCAGGGAGCAATATAAGGAGGGAAGAAATGAAGGCCTTTATCTGAACAGTCAGTTGAAACCCAGCACAGCCAGACATCCCAAGTCACTCACTGCCGGGCATAATGGCTCTACTATTCGATATCCTTGGCCACTTTCCCATACTTCCCTTAGACGAAGGAGGACTGGCTCTGGGAAGGGTTTGATAAGGCCACCAGCAGAATGGGGTAAGAGTCGTTTAAATGACTGCTCTAAATTGTACTTTCATCAACAGCATCTACTGCAGAGAGTGCCAAAAACTGATCTGCTGCATCTGTGCCCTGCTGGACAGCCGGCACACAGGCAAGCACTGTGATATCAAGGTGGAAATCCAGCAGAGGCAGCAGGAGCTGGGGAGCGTGAGCGAAGAGCTGAAGAAGAAGGAGGAACTCTTCCAAGATGCCTATTGTAATCTGAAGAGAAAAGCTGACCACCTGGACCAGGTGAGGAATGAAACCCAGGAGCTGATCCGAAAGAGAGTTGAGCAGATGGTGCAGCTGATCCGAGAGAAGGAGCAGGAGCTGCTGGAGATGGTGGAGAGGCAGCACCACCTGGGGAACGAGGAGCTGGAGGGGAAGCTGCAGCAGACAGAAGCCGTGCTCAAGAGGATGGGGGCCAGCAAACAGCTGGTGGAGAAGATGCATCTCTATGCGTCGGACCAGGAGGTGATGGACCTGCACTCCTTCATCAAGGGGTCACTGGAGGAGCTCAGGAAGCTGCAGCCCCTGGCCGTGGGAGCCAGTGTCCAGGCTGGAGGCTTCGCCAAGTGTAAAGCCAGACTCCAGGCTCTGTTTGAAAGAGTGACTGGGGAGAGAGGTAAGACACTTTCACAGGCCTGACACATGTCTGTGAGGTGGTGGTTGTGGACATGGTACCATCGTTACCTCTGGCTACCGCCAGCATGGGATGGAGTGGGGCTGGTGACCCTGTCACGTGTGACTGCATGATGGAGCTTTTAATTGCTCTTTTAGTGTTGTAAGTTGGGTCAGTTTGAAGAGTGAGGATGGAGCATATTGCCTCAGAGGGAGGGAGGGAGGGAGGTAGGCGGGCGGGCAGACGTCAAAATAGAAGATGAGCATCAATTCTACAGCCTGTCTGGGAAATGCCCTGGCCTGTGTTATGCAGGTAACCAGACTAGATGATCATCATGGTCTCTTCTGGCCTATGAATTAGTGATCACTAAGGCTGGCAATTAATTGCAGTTAACTCACGCTGTGACAGTGTACCCCATAAGGCTTTATGGGGAGGGGGTGCTTATA